GCGACACCATTACAACATTGAATATTACCCATTCGCATCGCGTGCAAACAACAATTTTCCCGTTCTACAACGGGAACATATTCCTCACTCTTTACCCGTTCATTTACGCATCCAATATGTATAGTACAAAGCCGGAAAATCGCGTATATAGAAAATCGAAATAGTGGAAAAGAATTAGGGCGATTACACCGGTTTTATTCTATTAGGTCCTTAGCAGGGCGTCGAATTATTCCCTTTAATAGTCGACATCTGACGCCGTAAAAGTCGAGAGAAGGGAATCTCGAAAATGTAAGAGGATCGTCTCCCCGAGGAAATGTCCTAGCGCCCTAATAGGGTAGCACAATGTCTCTTATAAGTTGACGAGGTATATATAGATATATTTCTACAGGGTCATTCCAGCTACTACATATTAAAGAATCGAACAGTATAGGTACTAGAAAATGTACCTAATTTGATTTCGAAAAATACAGGGTGTGTGCAATAATTTTCGTACATCATCGTACATCTATTATTGTACACAGGAATCATCCTGTATATGTAAATATACATCTTCTCTTCTCCCTCTGCCGCCATTTCGAGCAACTCGAGTCTTGTTCGTTCCGGCATTGTGTTTAATGAAATAAGTCACTCGTTTGTCGGCTGTCATGTATTCGCGCGTTCGCTAGATTTCTGGATAAACCTGGTAATTATTCCCGCTATTATAGGAATAACGAGCGACGGGCCCCCCAACCGCCCCCGAACCGCCCCCCCCGTCTCGCGAAATACACCGACGTTGGTTGTGCATAGTGTAGAAGCGATGACGTAGAACGTTACGGTGGCTGCACTGCGATTCTATCGCTGACAGTTGACAATTGAATTGACATCTCGGAATTACCCGATGGGGAGTTTCTGTGTATCGATTTTTCGGAGGCGATTTTCGGAGTGATTCGTTATTCGGATTTTTGGCTGTTAGTGTATGAAGCAAAAGGCCATAAAAAGCGAGAAGATTTTTTTGTTGTAGGTTTGGTATGATAAAATTCAATCGCGAAATCGACACTCGAGTTTTTTTTCGTCGAAAAAAAAAAATAATAAAAATCCGCCGGCAACAAAAACCGAATCAATCATTATTAGTGCGGAATTGTCAGCGAGCGTTAGTCGAATATACAGGGTGTCCCAAAATTCACGCCCGTCCTTTCAGAATATGATTCAGTGGGCTAAAACAAATTAAATTTTAAGAATAAAATTTTTTCGTTTTGTCAATAATTTTATCATGTCAACGTATTCTCGATTAGAATAATAATGATCCATTTTTATAATAAAAAAATAAAATTCTACTTATGCCAATAATGACAGAAGTTGACAGAACGAATTAAAAAATTTTACCATCACCATAGCAACCTGCCAGTCATTTGTTTTTAGCTTACTTTGTTTTAATTAATTTAATTAAAATTTAATGGTTGAATTTAAATTTTTTTGTTTTTTTTATCAATAACTCGGTTATCAAGGACAAAACGAAAAAATTTTATTCTTAAAATTTAATTTGTTTTAGCCCACTGAATCATATTCTGAAAGGACGGGCGTGAATTTTGGGACACCCTGTATACGAATTTTCGAACAACGGGAGCGTCGATTTTTCGACGAATACGCCCCGTTATTGCTGTTACAAAGGGTCCGGGCGAATAAAAAAAAAATAAATATATTGTTTACTTTCAGTTCGTTTCGCGCTCGACCTGGTTATTATTCGAAATTCGCCTAACTGTTGATATTTCTATTATACCGAATGTAATCGATACGATCTTTATAACAATGAGCTAAAATACAATTTTATTTTTTGATTATTATTATAGTCTCGTTTTAATTTAATCGAATAAGCCAGCAGGTGCAAGGAAAAATCCCCATCGTTGGTATATACATTACATGTGTATAAAGGTATACAAATAAATTGGAAAAATACTCGCACAACAGGAAGTAATTTCCCGCAAACGTGCATATTTACGATCCGGGGGTTGTTCATTTTATTTTTTCCTCTCCCGCAATTCCGAAACCCCATTTTAAACGGCGCCCAGTCGTAATTTTAAATATTGTATATTAATACCAAATATCATTCGCGTTGAAAATCGGAATAATTTACGGTTTCGAGCCCGATAATTTCGAAACGGGTTTGCGGTAACGCCGAAGCGAATTAATGGACGTTGCGCCAGATGCGCCCCCCCTTCGAAAATCCCCCAATCCCCCGTCACTGTTTCGTTGTATATACCGACGAGTCGACGCTGGGTTTTTAATCGATAAATTTTAAATGTGCGGTGCTTGATTCGTTGTTTCGGAAATGGAACGTTATTCGGTGTCTTGTAGGAATAGGAAAAAACTACCCTTAGGAGTAGAGAGGGTGGAGTTGGGAAGTTGAAAAGATCACACTTTGCAATGTATTTATTGCGGCGAGTACTAAAACATTCATGCTCTCGGGTCGCCTTTCTCGCTGCGCTCTTTTCCCTGGATATTTATGGCCCCGAACAGGACCGGATTCCAGGTCGATTTGCAACGAAAATGCGGATTTTAATTTTATTCTGCTCTACTCGAAAATCGCTTTATGCTATTTAAAAAGTTAGTTTCCGCGAAAAAATTTTAATAACGCATTTCGGCCTTTGTAAATGATAAAGTAACGCGACATTTTCCACCGAGCGTTTGTTGTTTTTATTCGAGAAGTTTCGAGCTCACCTGAAAGGAAAAAGTTTTCCATTATCCGGTGTGTCAGTTAGAAATAGGGAGGCATCAAAGAAGTCGCTTCATTATGCAACTTTTAAATATTCTCGTTATAGGAAGTTGCCTGGAGGAAATTTTCTATTGTCAATACGCGCATTATAAATCGATTTGCGACTCGCACAAGTACAGAGAGAAATCGGTAAGTATAATCGATTCTCTTGCTGGAACTCTTTTTTGTTATATTTGCAACTTTAGGCGATTTGAATATTTCGAATAAAGGTGTATAATTTACCGGGATTTTTTATGTAAAACGCCCGGTAATTCGGAAACTTCCGGACCGGGAAATCCACATCCGCCTAAATCTAATTTGAATGCGATTAGTGGCTACTTATAAAAGTTAAATTTCCCTTGTTTGCTTCATTTTTGCCGGAGCCGCGCCGAAACTTTCTAATGGAAAATTAAATTTTTAACTCGAACGGGATTCGCCCCGATATACTCGTTGTATCTACACGTTCAAAACGGATTTATTTTCCCCCACGACCGATTCCCCGGGGATAATACATCTACCTAGTATAGCTACATTTTTTGTACCAATTATAATCTTAATTAGAAGAAGATATCGATAATACTCGGGGCGTAATTGGCGTAATTTTCCCGGGCCAATTCTCTTCTAACTCGCGATAATAAGCCCGGTCAGTTATCCCACCGCGAATGACCGTCGGGGATCCGGAAGTTTGAACTTCAAACCGAACTTTAGGATACCATTTTGTTTCCTCTAATGCGACGCGAAGTTGCCGCGCCGGATCGGCTAAGTTAAATTATTCAAATCCCATTTATTTACCTTTTGCTCCACATCAGACATGGCAGGGAGCTCGAGGAATTGTAATGGACGGGGAAAATTCCCATTACGCTTATTTGGGATATTGTTGGAGATGGAAAATGTGGCGTCGTTCTCGCTACCTTTACATCTAGTTTGTTTGGTTGTATATTTTTTTATCACCACGCAGTCGGTGTTTCTAATTAATGGTAATAGAAAACGGCGTAATTTTTCAGCGAGATTTAATTGTTTATTGAGATAATTTTTCGCTCGGTTTTTTTTTGGGGCGGTTGATTTAGGGAGTGCGAGGTTTTCGGGAGATAAGTTCCTCGGGGGAAGGTCGTATTTCAGATCGGACGCGAGATTAGGGCAGCGATTGTTGGCCGGGGAAACTCATTTCGAGAATTAAAAAGTCGACTTTTATGATGCCGATTTTATCCTAGCCGGTTACTTTTTTTCTACATCAGGAATAATTTCCGGATTACGTTCGATCAAAAGGGAAGTTTTTTTATCTCGTTATTTGTTTAAATCCTATACGTCTTTGGCGCAAAGGGGTAATTTATTTGAATTTTTTTCGTTTATACCCACTAATTACAGTCGAAAACAAACAGCCAATTAACCTAGGGGTTTACTGTCAGAGGGAATCCGCATTGTGTGCATGTAGACGAGCCGAACGTGAGCAAATAATCCGGTTCGTTTGCCTAAACGAGTTTTCCGGTCCGGTCCGGTCGGGAATCCGCCCTCGAGCTTATTGAAAAACACGTTTATTCGCGACAATAAGATTTTCCCAGTAACGACATGGTTAATATTAAATTTAGGAGTTTGTTCGGCGTCGGACGGGCCTTTTGCGGTTTTATTCCCGAACTTCGGACGGTCCGGAGTTAATGCGGTAAAACCGGACCGGATCCCGCCCTTGTACCCTTCGAACTACATTTACAACTTAAGGGCTGGGCGATTTTCGCTTTGGTTTTTGTTATGTCGTTTTCAATCAGAGAACTCTTGAAGGAACAAAAAAAAAAACTGTTTGTATAATAATCGAATCGAGTAATTTTTCTTATACTCCGGTCGTTTGGCTAGATGCGCGAAATTCGGGGGAAATCCCTTTTCGAATGGCAATACGCCAAAAACCGAAGATTTTTATAGAAATATTCCTGCTTGAAAACGACTCGATTTTTGTCCCTGTAATTTCTCGATAAAAATTTTTATTAAAATATTACGGTTAGAGTTCCATCGTCTGGTCGCTTTTATAAAAATATCTTCCGGCTAAAACGTAGCTTATTTGGTTAGTTTTTTTGCCTCTTCTCTTTCGAGACTTTCATTCGCCCGAAATTTCGTTATTTTCATATGTTCATATTCCACTTTGAAGCTTTGAGACCCGTCGCGCTTTTACCCCAAACAAAAAACGAACTCGATATGATATTTTTTCCGAAAGGATTTTGCGCTTTAAATTTAATATCAAACCTCCTACCTACACCCGCCGACAGTTTCATTCAAACAATCAACCCAGAAAATAATAAATAATATATATTTCATCAAAACGAATCGTACAAAAAACTAAAGCCATCCCATTCATTTGCTTCCAACAATCACGGCGGGAATTATCGAACAAACCACGTCCTTCCCGTTGGCATCTCGCAATTCGAACTGAATCTCCACGTTGATCTACGATTAAAAAAAATAACAATTTCTCCCAACCTTTAATCGACTTTAACCCACCTTCGGATAGGACCGTTTCACGTAGATGCTCAGATTGTACACATAATTTTCATTAGGCTTCAACGGGCAAGCAACCCCCGACGAACAAGCGTCCGAATTCGGTAAATTGAACTTGATCTTCAACGGGCCCAGTTTACCATACACCAGCGCTTTCAGCGAACTCGACTCCACTTCTGCAAAACCATTCGATTGTGTAATGGAAAAAGCTTTATTTAGTCCACTCGTTGGACTCTCGCGGGTTGTTTGAAATGCAGGAAACCAGCGAATGGACTATAGTTTTTGAATTTATACAAGTTTCGTACTTACTGGATTGGAATGTGGCAGTCAAAGTGGCGTTTTTGCCGCTTACTAAAGGACAATAACGCTGGTTTTCGCAACCGGCCAGATCCACTTTCACCGCCGTCCCGTCCACGGAGCCTGCAAAATGCAATCGAGAGATGCGATTAGTTTTGTTTGCTCGATTTGCGCAATTTCGAACGAGCTTTATCTCTCGCAAGAACTGCGTAAATTACTCGGAAACGTCGTTTTGGATATTGGACGGATCGATAAAGAGTCTCGACGAACAAAAAAACCTTTAACTCAATGACGAATTTGTTGTAAATATTTGTTATACACGCGCGCTATTATTTCGCAATTGTACATACTCATCAATTCATTCATTAAATTGGTGCATTTTACACGTGGTATTTCTATATCTATAATAGGGATCTATTAAGGAAATATTGAGTATAATATAAAGAGAGTTGATGTAAGGAGATGACTAAATTGCACCCAACAAATTTGCACTTATAAATACACCCGGATGAGGCATATTAATTACCATTACAAAGTAACAAAGTGATGAGAAAATGAGTGAAAAAAAATTGCACTTACCGCAATCCCGAATGACGGCCGTCGAGCATTCGAATGGCGAAAGGCAAGCGGCGAACAAAGCGCAAACGAGGATAATTTTCGACGGCATTTTGTTCTTGTTTTTTCGAAAAATAATAGAAAATCCGGAACCGACCGAAACGACGCCGCGACTTTTCGAATACTGAGCGCTCTCGCCCGTCGAGCTGGCGTTTTTAAACTCCTCATTATCTCCTAATTCAATTACTTTACACAAGCGATAATAATAATAGTTTAATTCGATTCATTATGACTCCGCTCGCTTTATTTCTACGCCACGTATTTACAACGAAAAAACAATGTAAAATTATTATTTTTTCCAGTTCCCATCGTCCACATGGACGCCGTCGTCGGCGATCCGGTGTATTTACCCTGCGATATATCCACTTTGGAGCCCGGGGATCAAGTTTTGCTGGTGCTCTGGTACAGAGAAGACCTAGGAACTCCCATATACAGGTATAAAACCAGCGAGTTATTCCACAAACAATGACGTATAATACATAATTACCCAGTAATGTGATAACCAAACGAATCCGTTCGAATGCAACCTAACGATAAGGGATGATAACCTTTGGATTATTTCGATTATGTCAAGGACTTGCATTTCGTCCGATTGCGATGTCGAAATCCATCTATACAATGTCGGATTTGTTTTCTTTAGCATCGTTTGTTATCGACTGTGTGTATACAAGGGAAAAATCCGGGCGTATCGCGAGAAGGTTTTCGAACTGGATAAAGGTTAATTTAATTAAAAGAAGCGATGTGGTGATTCCCCGCTCGAACTGGAGGGAAGATTACAATGCGAAGAGCTCCCGACATTATCGCTTCGCGAACGCCGAGGAGTGGATTGGATTTAATAGAGAAAGGCGAAAGAAACTGGAATTCCGCGGAGGGAAAGTCTATTTTCGCTGAATTAAAAATATTGCATGTTTGTTACAGTGTGGACGCCCGCGAGCGGGAATTCAGCATGGCAGAGCGATGGTCGGATGAAAATGTTTTCGCGAATCGGGCGTATTTTATGCCCGAGAAAACGCCCGCTGAATTGGGCGTCGATCACATCAGGGAGGCCGATCAGGCGATTTACAGGTGTCGGGTGGACTTCAAAATAGCCCAGACGAAGAACAGCAGGATCAATCTGACGGTTATCGGTGAGTGTAATTTTTAAAAATTGCTTCCCCAGTATAAATCAGCTAATAGCCTATTCGGCGTAAATTATTGCCGGGAACGAAGCGAATTTTTCGCTCCGAAAAAATTGGTTATCTCGCAAAATACGCCGAACGTTCGCTCGAATGAGTGATAATCTACAAGGAAAAATTGAAATGGTTTTTTCCCATCGTATATATACCCGGATTCCTCTGTTCAAAAGGTTCCGATGAAACCGGATTTTTTCATTATTCGCATAGAGAGATCGCGGGGGTCGTTCATAAACAAACCGATAGAGGGATATAGAGCGTTGAAAAAGGAAATTTTTACGATTTTTTTTTTCATGAAAAACGCCAAAAGAATTTCTAATAATTTCCAATACCCATACACCGAATAAAAACCGAGCTATCAGCGGAATTGATTTTCCATTTCGCATATACATTATAATTAGGTTAATCACGACGATTCCACCTTTCACCCTCTTCGCGCCAATTAATAATCCGCCCCGAATAAAACCGCCCCCGCGCCGGAACCTTAATCATTAATCACCCCCCGGGGTTATGTAAATAAAACCATAAATCTTTCGCCCGGCTCGCCGTTTACACTCGCTATTTTTTTTTTTCACCGCCCAATCTCACAAGTCCACTCTACGAGTAAACTACACCACCCCCGGGGGCGGCTACTCGATGCCCGACGATTTTAAAAAGTGTATATAAATCCGCTAATAGAGAAGATTCGCGGTTGGAAAAAAAACTGTAATATTTCGGGGGGCTGGGGGTTGATTTATTGGGGCACTTGTTCAATGGGAGCGTCGCGAAAGAAGGTCATAAACAAAAGTAATTTCGCATTATAATTTGCATAGCGAACGGGCCCCGGTTAATTTATGTGTTTCTATTGCGGAGGGTAATGAGGTAACATAACATACCCTAATTCGAGGAGCCGAAATGTGTGTGTATATATACATAAGTATCTATGTATGTATATATACGAGGGAAACGGTAATTGGACGATATAACGAAGTCGAAATATTTTTATTTCGCATGAATAAGTGCCGGCGGAATTTTATTAGACGCTCCTCTTATGCGAACGGGGGATGGTTTAATAACGTAATTTACTGGGAGTTGCATGCGAGGAATCTCCGCGGTTTATTACGGGGAATATACGATGAATAAAAATCCTGTTTACCCGACCCGAAATTTTTCTCCTTGCTCTAACTAACTTACGTTGTGACGAATCGGTTTGATGGATACCTGAAAGTGACTGGTATATATAAATTTTCGATGGTGGTAGAGCCGAGACTGGATGGAAATTCCCTATTTAAATAGGGGCGATGTGAATTTCGAAACGTTTGGAAATTCGATCGGACGGGAATAATGTTCCTGGAATAATATCCGACGTTTCGATATAGATAGGCATCTTGTTTGTTCGGTCCCCCGGAGGATCCCATTGAAATTCCTTACCGCTGTATTATGGAAACATTAAACCTGATGGCGGGATCGGCCGGTCGAATAATTTTCAATAAATTGGAAAATAAGAAGGAGAAAGACCATCAATCAATTTTTTCGATCGAATTTTCGCGCCGTTTCGGAGTTATTAAAATGCTAATCGAAAAGATGATAAGAAAATAGCCGGCGAAAGATGAAAGAAAAGGATGCATTAATTGCCTCTGCATATTTCAGTGTGGAAACCCCCGATTATAATTATAATCGCCTGTGATCACTACACGAAACGTTGACCGGCCGGACGGGATGAATTTTTAATGGAAAACTCCTGCTCAACCGACGGAAAATCCGAGATAAGACGAGGAAATGAAAGAGGGAGAAGCTTCGTTGCTCTTCGATGTTATCCGATGAGAGGAAAATTCCCATTTTCCACCGGCCTCTTGCCATCGAATTAACTCGGTATACATCGGGACGTCCGGTATATATATAAGAGATGTCTCGGGGTTAGCGATCGGTCCTGTGCGAATTAATTTTCTCTGATAAAAGCGGGGAATCTTTTTGTAGAGCGGCGTCAAAGGGATTTTCCGGCGAGCCGGGGGTTTTCCGATCGAATCGACAATTCGCGATGCCCGGGAAAAATTCCTCTTTCCCGCGCGCTGCGGGAAATTCGCGGGAAATTCGACCGAAATTCTCCCCGAAATTCTCCCCGAAATTTTTTTTCTCTCGATTTTTTGTTTATACAATGTGCGCCTTAATTTCGTCGAGTTGACCGAAAATCGATTATTACGGTGGAGAGAAAGGCGGAGATTATGAAAACAATCGCGTAAATACAACTTTGAGCCGCATTAGGCGAACTAATTCCGGGCAAATCCGCCGGGAGGTCGGGAATCAAGAAGCATTGTTTAAGGTCGAAATTTCGGCAAAGGGCCAGTAAATTGGATAAACGTATAAGGATCTGTTAAATTTCAAAGACAAAGGGTAGAGAGCGGCAGAAAACGAACTCGATTGTTAGACCGATTTTGTATTGTTGCTTGACCGTTATCATTGAAAAGGGTATTTTGTACTCGGGGTTTCACAGAAACCCGCTTTTCTCTGCTTTTCCTCCGATGCACTGTACAAAAGCGGAAAATCGGATGTATCGTTAAACACCGGAAATCTAACGGAATTTATTGGTATTATTCTCGTTATATCCAGTAGTATAACAAACATTTACACGAATTACCAACGGGGAAAAAAAATCCCATTATCAATACTCTTTTTCGATAATATTTCGAGTTTCTTTCAGGCGAGCAAATAAGCCGATTTTTCGGCGCGTTTTCAAAAGAAACTCATTAATTTCCGATTAATATACAGGGCGGATTTTTTCCTCTCTCATTTTTTTTGTTCTTCCGCAGTTCCTCCGCAGAAGATCGTGATCCACGACGAGGCTGGAAAGACGCTAACTACGGTCTTGGGACCCTATCCCGAAGGGGCGTCCTTTGTGCTGCGGTGCGATGTTTACGGGGGTGAGTACAGGGCCGGAGATTTGGCCCAATTTTTTGCCATATTTTTTTTTATATAAATTATTCGTCGCGAAATCGGATACAGGGCCGGAGATGGCCCGATTTTTTTGCCACATTTTTGTTTTTCATAAATCATTCGTCGCGAAATCGGATCGGGCCGGATGCGGCCCTGTTCGAGCAGTTTAATTGACAAGGCAAATTGAGTTTTTTATTAGGTTTTTGTTCGGAGTCAGATTCTCGATGATTCCTTTGAATTTTCGGGGGGGGATCCGGGAAGAATGGTTTTTAAATAAAAATGCTGCGCTCTCTCGTATATCTTTCGATCTTTTTCTCGCTGGAAATTCGCGATGAAAATTTTTTATACTCCCGCTCGCGGACGGAAGGTTAAATAAATTCCACTATTTTTCTAATTCTGATGATTTTTATTCGTTTATTCGTATTATTGAGTTATGAAAGGGGCGCATTAGGCGAAACAACTAGGTGTAAAAATGGCGAAAATACAACGGCGCTTTTCACCGGAAAATTATCGTTTAAGTGCTCTTTTACGAACTAATGGCGTCCTCCTGCCGCAGACCTTATTATTTCCTAATTTAACTCGGATTTTCCACTATAATTAAAGCAAACTTAAACGCGAATTAGGACACCGAGCGAACATAGAAAGCCTTAAATTTTCACGAAATTCTTATTTAACATTCGGTTTAGAAGTCGCACCGCATCCAGCCGGTTACCCTACATAATTACACTCAGACTTAATGCACTCGAAACAAAAAAAAATCCACAACAACAAACCTAATTTACTAAACCCTATACACAGCAAATAGATTATACTTTTAGTGATTATTTTAGAAGCCACAAAAGCCCCGTTTATCGATCGAGGAAGTGACGTTTTAACGCTACACGTCGGAGCTTATCAAATAAACATGCGAAATGCTCCATGTAAAATTAACCGGTATCATTTCGGGGCCGTTTAAAATGTAAATTAAACGGTGCATGTTGATGCCCGACTGACGCGAATTCGATATTAGTATTAGTCCGACAACGCATACACACTCGAAAAAAAAATTTGTATAGTACAGCGTAAATTTCGCGCTCGAATAAAACGGGGAAAAATCAGCGATTAATCGGGTTGCTACAAACGCAGATATATCTATGATATTCGAAAGAGTGATATGGGTCGTTTATAGACAACAAAAATACCGTTTCGAATTGTTGTTATAGAAGAAAAAAATTCTCGTTTCCGTTGAATAGAAGGGAAATCCAATAATTATTAAATGAATATTACTTAGCTTGGTGTTTCTAAATATCATACTTGAAGATTATTAACAAATTGATTGTTTTTGTGGATGGAACAACGCTAAATAGAGGTTTTTATATTGGTAGTGCAGCAAAAATTGCCCATTTTCTTGATTTTTTCTTTTTTTAGATATATTTTAGGTTAGGAAGGGGATATCGAGATGCGGTTTTCGCAGGCTTGTTTGGCAATTATTTGACTATTTTTCTTCAAAGAAAAAGTTATATCGTTGCATTTAAATTTTTTGAGAAAATCGGTGTTTTTTGAAGTAATGTCGAAAAACGCCATCTTGCGGCCAAGCAAGCAATTAAAATAATATCTTATATAGTGTAAATTATAGACCAAAGAAAGCCCTTTTCAACAATTTCATTTTTTTGAAAATCGGTTCAGCCGATTAAAAGTTATTAACATTTATTAGTCAAAATATTCAAACCATCCCCACCACTTTATTTTAAAAGATAGAGTCAAAAATATATGACAAAAAATAATCGAAATTATCTTAACTATCAAAATAAAACACATTTTTGATACCTTTATTTAGGAAAATTTTGAAAAAAATGACTTTTAAAAATCAAGATGGCGGATACTCCCCCTAGCGGCCATTTTAGAGACTTAAAAATTATTTCCAGCATTTTCTTTTGGCCGATTTAGTCATAAGATTTTTTACCGCAAGTCTCTACGACAATTAGTTTGCGAGATATGGCCGAGAGCCGTTCTTAGAGGACCACCCTGTACATACATACATTTCGAATTCCATCGGTTTTTACGCAATTACCTAATGGAACGTTGCGGGATTCTCTTATCCGGAATTGAATTCGACAGCGATTAACTTTCTTCGGGCCCTATATGATTCCCGATTGTTATGCAAACCTCTAACAAGGCTCTCCACTTTCCCGGGTATATTGTTGTATAGATAAACTCCAAAATACCCGGCGCTTCACATCGGACTTTTCCGCGCATTTAATCCGGTTTCGGGGAAAGTTGCGCGAATTAACGCCGAGTTAATTTAACCGGCGACTGTTAATGTTTCGCAATGGCATTTCGTATATATTAGGTTTTCCCGTGACGGAACTTCGACCCAATTCGTTCCGTCGAACTAATAAAAATTGGGATTAGCGGAGTCCTCCAGCGGCGGGCGACGATATTTCTACAAACTATTTTGCACCCCTTTAGGTTATTTCAGTGCGCCCCTGGTCTCTTGTTCTCTTCGCTCGCGCTCCGGTTCGAACAGATTGCAGGGTTTCGGATTACTCCGGGGAGTAATGGGCGAAGCGAAACGCGGAAGAAAGATATGTTCTTTGCGGGGGCGGTTGTTTTCGAGGGACTCGCCCCCGACGTTGTCCCTCGACGGCGGGACATGCAGATTTGTCGTTTGGAACAGACCCGAAATCGATCCCTAATCGATTCAACAAGTTCGATGATTTTTTTTGTGTACTTTGATTCAACGTTTTCCACTTTTGTGGAGTTAATTTTAGTCAATTATAATGGTAACCTGGAGCTTCATAACATTCGGTGTAGCTAAATATGAAGTTAATTATTTGCCTCGTTCCGCAACATTAAATCCATTTAATTAACGTTGACCCATTAATATTAGATGCACCGTTGAATATATTTCATGTATTTATACAGCTAAACCGCCGGCTACTGTGACCTGGTACAGAGAAGACAGCGATCTTCCCGAAGAAATCGACAGGCTCCAATCGAGAATAATGCTGAGCAACGCCAGTACCATCACCGGTACCGGCCCATCAGCGTTCGTCCGCAACGAGCTGAAGATGGTCGGAATCGGTCGAAACGACGTGGGAAAAGTACTCGTTTGTCAGGCGAACAACAACCGAAAAACGCAAGCGCTCACCGCGTCTCTTACCATCGACATGAACTGTAAGTTTCAACGCCTACGGACCGATTGAAATAGCTGAAGATTTGTTTTGTGTTTGCAGTCGGGCCGTTGGATGTGAAAATTCTGGGTTCGAATCAGCCGCTATCGGCCGGTAGAAGGTACGATTTGTTGTGTCAAAGCAGCGGATCTCGACCACCTGCTAGCATAACTTGGTGGAAAAGCGGCCAGAGATTGGAGAAAACGAATCACACTGTAAGTAGTAATTTATCGAATCGCCCCGGTAGAAGTAAACGGGTGGAGAGAGTAGTTATAGCTGTACCAGTTCTAGACCGCTTTCGAGAGAACGGTCTAGAATCGGTCTAGAATCGGTCTAGAAACGGTCTAGAAACGGTCTAGAAACGGTCTAGAAACGGTCTAGAAACGGTCTAGAATCGGTCTAGAAACGGTCTAGAAACGGTCTAGAATCGGTACGGAGTTTCGAGGTGGTCTAGAAATGGTATAGCATTTCGAGGGTAGTTGGAAAAAATATCCAAAAAACTCTGTACCGATTCTAGACCGTTTCTAGACCGTTTCTAGACCGTTTCTAGACCGATTCTAGACCGTTTCTAGACCGTTTCTAGACCGTTTCTAGACCGTTTCTAGACCGATTCTAGACCGATTCTAGACCGATTCTAGACCGTTCTCTCGAAAGTGGTCTAGAACTGGTACAGCTAAAACTACTGGAGAGTTTCGGTTTATTTTCGAACGAATTGCGGCGACGGCGTCGTAAAAATTAATAACGAATATTTTGATGCGAACCGGCATTTTCGAGCGAGCATTTAGCGAATTAAAAGACAACGGGAATAAAGGTTGGGTGTAAATAAACAAAATGCGGGGGAATTGTAGCACATCTGTAAATTCTCCCGTGCTAGTTTTGCAGTTTCTGTTCGTTTTTGTCGCTCATTAAATGCGCCAGCGCGAACCGTCTGGATTGTATTCCCGAAGTGATCCCGGAACGGAGAGACGGAATTAATAGGAAAAAGGTTTCGACATTAATGCAGTATATACGGGAATCCGGTTACAGAAAATATCCTATGCATATAAATGAGTCGGTTCTGCGTCATATTCCCGTAAAATGACAGGACTTAAATACCCCCGAGTATCGTGAAAATCGTACGAAACGAAGTACAGTTGCATTTTCTTTTTCCGAATCTCTGAATGTTTACTCGCGAGAACTAGTTTGTTTGTCGTTTCTTCTATATCGGATTTTATTTCCTTCGCTCGCTGTTATTTAGAAAAGAGTTATTAAAAATCTTATGTGTGCGTTTTTTTGTTATTTTTATTACATTTCTAGACGTCTAAAGATGGAAATACATCAATAAACACGCTCGGTTTCGTGCCTAAAAAGGACGACGATGGAAAATACCTTTCCTGCAAGGCGGAAAACAAGGCAATTCCCTCTGCAGTGGTGCTCGAAGACGGTTGGAAATTAGAAATACATTGTGAGTATATTTACGCGAAAAATCGCAAAAATCCAATACATAAACGTCTCGTCCAGATTTCCTTTAATTCCCCACCGATTCCCGTGTTATTCGATCCCATAAATCCTCGACTCTAATCTCACGGAAGGCGCCGTGAAAAATCGACCTCGACCACAAACGAGCTTTTCTCATGACCAGCGCTAATTATTTCCCATGCTCTCTCGTCGCAGATACCCCTGAAGCGAGGATCCTCCTGGGCACGTCCCTTAACCCCCACGCCATCAGAGAGGGCACCGACGTTTATTTCGATTGCATCTTGAACGCCCATCCTCCCGTCTATAAGGTGGATTGGAGACATAATGTAAGTATTTACAATTAAGGCATATACAGGGTGTCCCAAAATTCACGCCCGTCCTTTCAGAATATGATTCAGTGGGGTAAAACAAATTAAATTTTAAGAATAAAATTTTTTCGTTTTGTCCTTGATAACCGAGTTATTGATAAAAAAACAAAAAAAATTTAAATTCAACCATTAAACTTTAATTAAAACAAAGTAAGCTAAAAACAAATGACTGACAGGTTGCTATGGTGATGGTAAAATTTTTTAATTCGTTCTGTCAACTTCTGTCATTATTGGCATAAGTAGAATTTTATTTTTTTATTATAAAAATGGATCATTATTATTCTAATCGAGAATACGTTGACATGATAAAATTATTGACAAAACGAAAAAATTTTATTCTTAAAATTTAATTTGTTTTAGCCCGCTGAATCATATTCTGAAAGGACGGGCGTGAATTTTGGGACACCCTGTATTTATTATATTTCGCGAATTTGCCAATTTACGAGTTTTCGCGGATTTCGAACAGTTATTAGCTTATAAAATAACGCTTCGTCTATCTAAAAACCCCTGAAACACGTCGAAAATTTACGCCGTTTTCATTTATTAAAATTAGTTTTTCGTTCGTTTTATCTGCACGCGTATAATTTACAAGCGCTCGTTAAATTATTGCGAATTAAAATCGGTTTTTGTTATGTATATTTAAGATTTATCTCATTATTTATCGAGAATCATTTATTTTTACGCTAAAATTACCTATACCCATTTATTGAAAATTTACGTTATTTTTCGAAACTTTTGAAACGCACTGTATAAATTTGCATAAAGTATAGTTCATTCTCTGAACTTATACGCGAGTTTTGCATTTGGAATTTGCAGTAAATCACCCATTTAGTGCAATTGACCCGTATACTTTATAAAACTAACCATTTATACTGCTCCACAAAAGTTAAGGAAGTTCGCAAATTTTGTGAATAATTTTAAAATTGCAGGTTTTTTGATCGCCAAATTTAGTAAAAATTTAGTAAAAATTTAGTAAAAATTGAAAAGTGGTGTACAAATATATTGCTCTACAAAAGTTAAGAAAGTTCACAAATTTTGTGGATAATTTTAAAATTGCAGGTTTTTTGATCGCCAAATTTAGTAAAAATTTAGTAAAAATTTAGTAAAAATTTAGTAAAAATTGAAAAGTTGTGTACAAATATACTGCTCCACAAAAATTAAGGAAATTCACAAATTTTGTGAATAATTTTAAAATTGCAGGTTTTTTGATCGCCAAATTTAGTAAAAATTTAGTAAAAATTGAAAAGTTGTGTACAAATATACCGCTCCACAAAAGTCAAGGAAGTTCACAAATATTAAGATTAATTTAAAAGTTGCAGGTTTTTGGATCGCCAATAAATTTAGTATTCAGTATTTAGTAAGAGGAAGGAGCAAAAAATCCACTCAGATATGAGAGAAAACATTTAATTTCGCACATTTGAAAATTTGGCGATCAAAAAGTCTGTAACTTTTAAAATAATCGCAAAATTTGCGAACTTTCTTAACATTTGTGGAGCAGTTTATTTATATATATTTAAGGGGTTGAATCTTGGACCCCCCAAAACTTTACCACCCTAGCTGTATCTCTAAAATTAAGATATTTAGGACATAATATTTTCCTTAAAATAGCTCCAGGAATCACCCCCACGTGCAGATCTAGATATTCGCCCTTAACACACACGTAATAATTCTTCTAATCGAATTTAGAGCAACGCGGAGCAGGAACTTGCGAAATACAGTAATTAAGAAACTTCCTGCATTAATATCGCGAGTATCGATTCGCCAGGAACTCCTCCGATTAGTCGAAATTACCGGCGAATTTAATCGCAACCGACTTAATTAGTAGTTCTGTTTCTTTCACCCTCCTCTATAGGGAAAATTGCTGAATATTAACGTCAACGCCGGCATCATCATCACAAATCAAAGCCTCGTCCTGCAAGGAGTCTCCCGAGCTACAGCCGGTAATTACACCTGTCTCGGCCACAATACAGAAGGAGACGGAGAAAGCGCCCCTTTCTACCTCAACGTTCTCTGTAAGTACCCGTTTTTACACTACTCTAACTAGTCGCTGGTTAAGTAAAAGGCCGCTAATCGCTAGTCAACTAAACCGCCATTTCCATCGTACGAATTCGCATCGTTTTTACACTATTCTGGCTGGTTGCTGGTTAAGTAAAAGGCCACTAATCGCTAGTCAACTAAACCGCCATTTCCATCGTACGAATTCGCATCGTTTTTACACTATTCTGGCTGGTTGCTGGTTAAGTAAAAGGCCACTAATCGCTAGTCAACTAAACCGCCATTTCCATCGTACGAATTCGCATCGTTTTTACACTATTCCGGCTGGTTGCTGGTTAAGTAAAAGGCCATCGTACTAAATTCGCAGACGCGCCGAGTTGCAAGCCGAACCAGACCAGGATCTACGGGGTGGCGAAGCAGGAACGGGCCCAAATCAGCTGCGTGGTGGACGCCAATCCGCCGGACGTGCAATTTCGGTGGACGTTCAACAATTCGGCCGATTCGGTGGACGTGAGTCAATCGTACATAGCGCGCAGCGGCACCTCCAGCGTGGTCTCGTACACCCCCATGACGGAGCTCGACTACGGCACGTTGCTCTGCTGGGCCTCTAACAGGATCGGCGCCCAGCGGACGCCTTGCGTCTTCCACATCATCGCCGCAGGTGAGATAACTTTAGTAGGATGCATGATGAATGTTTTGATAGTGTAATCGAAGCTCTATGTCTTTGGAGCTCCGAGATATAACGATTTGAAAACGTGTAATGAGTGTTGCCTATAGCGCAGGTGAGAATACTTTAGTAGGATGCATGATGAATGTTTTGAAAGTGTAATCGAAGCTCTATGTCTTTGGAACTCCGAGATATGACGATTTGAAAACGTGTAATGAGTGTTGCCTATAGCGCAGGTGAGAATACTTTAGTAAGATGCATGATGGAAGTTTTGATAGTGTAATTGAAGCTCTAGCTCTTTGGAACTCCGAGATATAGCGATTTGAAAACGTGTAATGAGTGTTGCCTATAGCGCAGGTGAGAATACTTTAGTAAGATGCATGATGGAAGTTTTGATAGTGTAATTGAAGCTCTATGTCTTTGGGACTCTAAGATATAACGATTTGAAAACGTGTAATGAGTGTTGCCTATAGCGCAGGTGAGAATACTTTAGTAGGATGCATGATGAATGTTTTGAAAGTGTAATTGAAGCTCTATGTCTTTGGGACTCCGAGATATAACGATTTGAAAACGTGTAATGAGTGTTGCCTATAGCGCAGGTGAGAATACTTTAGTAGGATGCATGATGAATGTTTTGAAAGTGTAATTGAAGCTCTATGTCTTTGGAACTCCGAGATATGACGATTTGAAAACGTGTAATGAGTGTTGCCTATAGCGCAGGTGAGAATTACTTAGTAGGATGAATGATGAATGTTTTGAAAGTGTAATTGAAGCTCTATGTCTTTGGAACTCCGAGATATAACGGTTTGAAAACGTGTAATGAGTGTTGCCTATAGCGCAGGTGAGAATACTTTAGTAAGATGCATGATGGAAGTTTTGATAGTGTAATTGAAGCTCTAGCTCTTTGGAACTCCGAGATATAACGATTTGAAAACGTGTAATGAGTGTTGCCTATAGCGCAGGTGAGAATACTTTAGTAGGATGCATGATGAATGTTTTGATAGTGTAATTGAAGCTCTATGTCTTTGGAACTCCGAGATATAGCGATTTGAAAACGTGTAATGAGTGTTGCCTATAGCGCAGGTGAGAATACTTTAGTAGGATGCATGATGAATGTTTTGAAAGTGTAATTGAAGCTCTATGTCTTTGGGACTCTAAGATATAACGATTTGAAAACGTGTAATGAGTGTTGCCTATAGCGCAGGTGAGAATACTTTAGTAGGATGCATGATGAATGTTTTGATAGTGTAATTGAAGCTCTATGTCTTTGGAACTCCGAGATATAACGATTTGAAAACGTGTAATGAGTGTTGCCTATAGCGCAGGTGAGATAACTTTAGTAGGATGCATGATGAATGTTTTGAAAGTGTAATTGAAGCTCTATGTCTTTGGGACTCCGAGATATAGCGATTTGAAAACGTGTAATGAGTGTTGCCTATAGCGCAGGTGAGAATACTTTAGTAGGATGCATGATGGAAGTTTTGATAGTGTAATTGAAGCTCTAGCTCTTTGGAACTCCGAGATATAACGATTTGAAAACGTGTAATGAGTGTTGCCTATGCAAGTGTTAATCTCTGGATATTTGGACGTTACGAATTCGTTGAAAGGTTTCGTTTTTAAGCTTCGAAATTCGATTCGAACGCAAACATCAATGTGTTTTGGTAGTCGCATCAAACGGTTTAAATTCGCACGTGTAACCGAATATTTAATGTCGTTTGGTTAACGGCCGGTTTTGATCAATATAGGGAGCTCTTGTGAAGCGAATAATACCCTTTTAGAGAGATGTATCGGCGTTTTCATTACTCCGATGGAATATTATACCGCTGCGGAAGTTCAAATGGAATTATTAATTTTTTTGGTATGTACATTTGTTTAGCGGTAGAGAGCGGGAGAATTGGGCTCGGGGGCGCGATCGCAATCAGGAATAATAAAATATCGCCCGGTAATTGGAGTGCGTCGCGGCGTCGGTTCGTTTGCGCCGCAACCTCGAGACTCGAGACGTCGCGGCGTCGGCGTCGGGATCAAAGGAATCGGCGCTGTGCTAATTAAAAGCGCGTTTCGCTCCGGCCTAAAACGGGGTAAATGTAGATCGCGAGTTGTGATAAACGATGATTTCTCGAGCGAAAAATCGATTCGGAGCGCGATTGATGAGCTACAAAAATCGAGAGCAGGTGATTGTTCCTGTTCGTTTCGACGCCGTTTCGCGATTCGATCGAGTTTGGCAACTTTTTCGCTGCGATTCAATCGACTTAAAAAGGTCGCAATAAGTTTTCCGGGTAGCGTCTTCTGCACCGGAAAAGTTTCGGGCCTTTCACGCGAGAATTCGCCGCTCCTGGGAAGTCGAGGAAAAAGAAGCGGCGGAAAACAATCGTCCGGGAGCCGGGCAATAAAATTTCGGTCGTCGAAGTTTCGGGGGAAACTCCTTCATTCCGGTTCGCGCTCGGTTAATTTTCTGATGCCTGGGACAGGCCCATGTAGATCAGAAACGGGCAAGCATCAGCATCAGAAATTTATTCCGAGCGAATTTTATGACGGTTTCTTTGATTGTTTTAGAGCGTACAGGGAACCGAATAGTCTGAGGCCAATAAAGTCGATTTTTTTGCTGGTTGCTGGTTTATTATATTTTAAGCTTTCAAGTTAACGCAATGAATGAAATTTTCATCTCGTTTCGCAACAAAAAAGAATCCCCCCTATCTTATTTCTTTGCCGGAATAATCGAATTCTCCCAAACACACCGAACGCTCTTCCGTTTAATTTCATTTACTCGCAAAGATCGCATTTTATCTTTTATCTTCCGGCCAAAGAAAAGGAACGAAACGCCGAACGTAGCCGGAATTTGTAATCGAGATGCAGCCGGAAAATGAGTATCGTTTGTATCAGAAACGGAAAGGGAACTCGAAGGAGAAATAAAAAAAAAATTAGTCGGGTAACAACAACGCAACACGAACGAAAGTCGCGGTAATAGAGCCGAGCCCGGAGCTCCTGCTTAAGTTCTCTTATATAAAATAATTGTTTCGAGTGGTTTCGAAGAGAATTATATATAAATCTCCTTAGCGATTTTAAAGCGGAAGCTGGTACAACGTAATCTTTTTGTTGCTTTCGGATATCAAGATAATTGGTTTCTACCATATAAAAATTCAACCATCTCGAATATAGTCTTATATTCGCTGGATTTACGCGGGTTTCGGATTAAAAGATTCTTTATTGCTAATTGTGAGTTTCTTACAAAATGTCTAGTTTCTACAAGAGTTTCTACAAGAAATACTATTCGAATTTATAGCTTTGTAGCTATCCTCATAATTAATTTGACCAGTTAAAAACTTATCCAGCGAATGAACTATTTACTGTAGAAGATCTGGTGTGTGTAAATTGATGATTGTTTTCGTTTGGGCGATGCGAAAAAACGTCGGTAATTTACGTTCTGTTGAGCCGAGAAGGAAAAGTGTCCGATACATAGATCAGGCTGGATTCATATTCTTATCGAAAGCGTTTTTGCGCCCGGTAATATATCGCTGTGATTTAGCGCTGCGCATACATTACTGTCGCGCGTAAAGTTTCTTGTTTTCACCGGCGGAGAGTCTTCGACCGGTTGAAATATTGCGAAACTCCGAGCCTTCAAGTCTGCTGTTTCTCGATGTTTCGAATGGGAATCGACGCCGGGCTATTTACTATTTATTTAGATTTTTCCAGCTCGCGAGAGAATTCGAAGAGCGGGCGCTAGATCGCTTTATTAGCGGCAATTAAAACGCTTTCGCCGAGCTTAATCCGCTCGTAAAACGGACGAATTCGCGCTCTTAATGCGTCTAGCAGTTTGAAAAAAAGCTTTTTGACGAAAATTACTGATTTAATACCGTCGTGTGCGTTTTTTTTCGCCATAAAATCCCGCTGTTAAAAAATAAATAGGGCGTTTTTGGGCGAAACTGAATTACTATTATCACTCGTTTTATTTATTCCAGGTCGACCGGATCAAGTGCACAATTGCACCGTCCTCAACATTTCGATGAATTCCTTCAACATCCGTTGCTCCGAAGGATTCAACGGGGGATTACCCCAATCCTTTCTACTCGAGGTACCATCTTAATCCATCTACTACTTAATCTAATATTTATTTTTTTGTAATAAGGTACGCGAGAGTCAATCGCAGGAACTGAAAAACAACCTTACATCGCCGGTGGCGCGATTTTCGGTGACTGGCCTCGAACCGGGAGCTTTCTACCACGCCGTGCTGTTTTCCTTCAACGGAAAAGGCCGCAGCGAGCCGGCCATCATCCACGCGGCTACTTTGAGATTGCCCGAGAAGCAATTAACAGCGGAGAAAGGTCAGTACATAGAGAAAGAAAGATTTCTATTTTGTCTATGGGTCAGTATTGCAATTTGAATGTTATAGAGGTCTTTTATATCGCTGTTATTCGGGCTATCGAGTGGCTGGCGCTTCTCCGGAGTTAAGGCCAGTTGGCGTTAATAAGCGCGAAATAATTAATGTTTCGAGCGAGGAGAGATAAAAAAGAAGAGTCGACGACGTCTTTAATAGGATTATTATATATTTTTTAGCGAAAGTAAAAGGCACTCGAGCTGTTTTTTTCGCGACCCTCTCGCCCGTCCTTCGGAAATAATTTAATTAAGTACGGACGTCGGGTATCAAAAGACCCGAGAGTTAGGGTCAGATGAGTGTTTTTTCTTGTTCCCTAGCAGCGAGCGATCGCGTGGAAATTAGATCGAAGAGGAAAATTGATTTTGAGGATATATTTAGACACTTTCGTCTCTATTAGCATTCCTGAATCTCTTCGTTTTTTTGTAACAGAAAGCAGCCGATCGGGGAGCCTCCAATTCACGCCGATGATGAGCGTTTTAATCGGCGTGGTATCGGCGTTGCTGATCGTCGCTTTGGTGGTGATAATGGTGTTGCGAATGCAATGCACCCACCACAACGGCATGCAAACCAAGGGCCACAAAAACGCCACGGTGGCCGTCAGCAGGTCCAATTTGGACCACAGAGGGTCCGGCAGTCTACCCACGTTGAGCGACAAAGGAGGTATAAACGAATTGTTTGATTTTTACCTGATGCTTTTTAATTGAGTATTGAAATTCGAAATTCTTCTTCTTATTCGTTTGAGGCCTTAGCTACACTTCACTACACAGGACTATTCGGCCTGTTCCGCCATTTTAAGACGCGTTCCATGACACATTTGTCAAAAATGAATCAAATTGACATTAATGACAGTTCGTATGACACAAGTTTAATAGAGGTGGGAGTCGATTTTTCGGTATAGAGATGCAGTAACGACTGTTACAAAATAACAAAAATAACAGTTATTTTTTCACACATTTATGTGAGTAATTGTTCGTTTATAGGCGGTAGCCCGATATCGAAGCACGATTCGAGCGCCGGCGAGTGCGACAGCGACGAGAAGAACCCCGACATCATACCGCAGGCGCTCGACGACGACGATCCGTCCTCCGAGTACTCCAGGAAGCGGCAGATCTCGACGATCGAAACGTCGCCGAACCGGCGGTCGCTGCACCAGGTCCCTAGCAACTCGAACTACTCGGGCTTCTGCACGATGCGCAACGGCATGCCCAACACCCGCGACTCTCCTGCCCAACAGAAACTGGTAAACTCGACCCTTTTCTATCAGAAATCGCAGTCGATTCGCCATCGAGAGTAGGGTTCTGTTGATGGCGAATGGATTGTTGGATTGTCGATTGTAGCGGGATGTGATATCGGGATTGGTTTTTGTAGATGATGGCGTGCACGTTGCCGAGACAGCCGGCGCAGCAGTGGTTATATGGACCGATGGGGCACCTGCCGCCCGGGGTGTACCCGGTGGCGTACAGGACGGCGCCGAGGCAGGTGCAGGGGGCGCGGGAGCCGCCGATTGCGCTGCAAGCGATGGCGCCGGCGCCGGCTGGCGTCGGCGTCGTTGTTGAGGAGGAGCCGTCTGTTGAGACGCCGCTGGTGGCTAATAAGAGGGAGAGCACCGTTTGACGAATGTCTCCGATGTGATGCGTCGAGCACAATAACACAGGGTTTCTCTAAGAATGAATTTCTGTATGATGATGATTGGTAATGTTCCTTGGTGATTTCTGGTTTTTTTTAGCGCTCTTCTGAGACTGTTTTAATTGATTGTCTAGGCGATGTAACTTTTGTTGTTTTAATTATCTTACCCCGAATGGTGATAGAAAAAGCAATTGTGATTAAGAAACGCCAACTTATCGAGCGGATTGGATATACTTGGATAGGATTGAGTAAGCTTAAAGGTAACACAATTTCTTATTATTTCCTTCTATATATTTATTTGTTTAATTAAATTCAAAAAAATAAATTCGCCTAGTAAATTATACAACGTTGATTTGTCGCTCGTAATAAAATTACAATTAACTACAATTACATTAATTGTAATTAATCGTAAAATAAATGTTTAACGCCTACGCATCAATAGTAATAGAAAAACGAATGCGATTCTTCGAAAAACCGACTATAAAATATTAAATGACTGTTAATTAAGATAATCAAATTTAAAAAAAAATATATATGTAATGTGTCTGTTTTTCCGAACCCTGATCCCGGTAATGGTCTAAAAATTTTCTAGAAAATTTGGACGATTTTTTAGATTTTTTGACTCCTATAGCAAAGCTTGAATAAGAAAGGTGTATTTAACGCAACAATTTTTCGAATCATCCCCTTTGTATATAATTATATAAAAAAAAGGTGTTCACATATCTTTATATTCCCGTTTGTTTATTATCTGTACATAAAAATTTTTATGGTCGAAACGAATTCCGTTTTTTCCTAAAGTTTTGTAAAACGCGTTTCGATAATAAGATGTAAGTGAAATATTTCGAATTCGTTTCCATCCCGTCACGAGGATGTCGAATTGGATTATCAAAAAAAATAAATAAAATAATAAACATTTGTACTTCGATCGTTTGTATATAAATATATCATTTGTTACAAATTTTTAATGAAAGGATTATTGAAATTATAAATGTGATTTATAATAGATTAAGTTTAGAAAATAGCGAACTTGCGCTTGTTGCAATCTTTTCTACAATTTTTCCTTCGACTGATGCATATGAGTGAGATTTACGGAAATTTATTTACTATTAAATTATAAACAATTCAATTCGCTACTCTTTAATAGGTTACTTTAATTGTTGGAAAATGTCACAGAATCCCTCAAACTGTAATTATTTCGAATATGGTCGTTGGAAAACCCATCTTTTCCCAAAAAATCGAATTTGTTATATTATTAAGACGTGCCTTGATGATTTCGTAAATATATCTATTTATCAGTTTCCATCCCATTATCGACCAAATCCCGTTATTATTTGGGATCAATCCGTAGAACAGCTTGTAACCGAGAGTTCGCTTGGTGTAAAAAAATTGTACAAATTGTAAATAATATTACGTTTTATATTTACCGAAACAAAGTCATCTGTTAACTGAACAAAAATAATTGTGAACATGAAAAATAAATGTAATTAAAATCGACGATTTCATTCCAATATGGAACGGGAATTTAGGATTATTTAGGATCTAAGGACTCCCAATGAATGGATTTGAAGAAAGGGTGCGATTTGAGATTCTCCGTTCCATTGGGGCCCCATCCCAGGCGCTCTTGCGGTTCGTAAACGAGCAACTAAACAAATTCCTCGCATTAGAAATGTATATCTAATAAACAACAAATGTGGCTAGTTACCTGCTTGAGAAGAGACCGTCCCTCCGGCGAAACGTGCCCGGGGACTTTCACGCTCTTACAGATACTTATACCGTTCGTATGCACCTCGGAGAGCGGCTGGAAAACCCACAATTAATATCCATCGATTAGAAACTCCGACAAACTTACTATTCCCACTAATAACTCGTACAAAATGGCGCCGTAACTGTACCAATCCGCCGATTCGGTGATCTCCTGGAACCCGTACACTTCCGGAGCCAAATTGTGATTTAATTTCGACGAAAACAAATCGCTCGAATCTCTTTTATCGTACATGTACGTTAACACCACGTCCTCGTTATCGTCGATCATGATATTTTTCATTTGAAGGTCCCTGGAATTCATAAAACACAACTAATTTATCCTGTTACCTGTCATCTGTCACTTTCTTATAAATTAATTAGAAGAAAAGAGAAAAAAATTGACAGTTTTGCATTGGTTGTTATGGAGTAACTAAGGAGATTCTTTGAATTGACACTATTGACAGTTTTACATTGTTGTTATGGAGTAACTAAGGACATTTTGTGTACGTTAAGGAGACTATTTAAGCGATTGAAAAGGACCCCTGATTCGATTCTACGTAGTGAAATATCAATTGACCTGCATACGACGCCGATATCGTGTAATTTCTCCAAAGCCACGAGTAATTGCGCCGCCCATTTAACTACTAACGTCTCGCGCACGACCATTTTGTTAGCGAACGCTTCGACGTCGAAATTCGAAGATATCTCGCTCAATTTGCGCGCGTTCTCGCTCCTCCGCCTCGTGTACTTCTGCCTGAAATGGTGTTCCGTGAATGCAGCCTCATCGGCTACATCAGCAGTTTCGAAATCCTCGAAGGATTTATCGCAGGAGGCGCCGCCCGATCGGGAATTGTTGTAGTCGTTGATCAATTCGGAGAAACTCGCTTCGGATTCGTTATCGGAGTCGTCCGGTGGTAACCGGTTCGTCGGGAAGTCTTCCTCGATGGTGGATTTATCGTCTCGAAGGAGGTATTCGGAGATTTTAGAGCCGTTGGAATACTCCAGTAGTAAAAATAGGGCGTTTTCGCAGTCGTAATGGTTCTCCAGTTTCACCATGTAAGGCACTCGATTAGGCAACAGTAGATCGTGGAGTTTGAAATCTACCGGTTTGTGTACAATCTGAAATAGAACGAATTATTATACTCATTATACTAGTTTAATTAGAGATATAACCTTCATGTAAAAGAGTTTTTGTAGCTCGGTGTGGAGTACTAATATAACCGAATTAATAATTTTCACTACGTTAAATTTGTACAAATCGAACAATGGTCTTTTACTAACATCCTCTTCGCTAGGTTTCGTCTACAACAAACCCAATTTAATATATGTATCGTAGAGTATATAAAACGTACAATCAACTCAATTTCTTTAATCTCAGGCGAAAGGTACATGTTGTAAATCTTCTCAGCACGAAGGCGATATTTATTTACCTTATACCTCACTAACTGCTTTCTTTCATACACAGGATCATCTACAATTCAATCAATCACAAATCAATTTATACGATAATGTTTACTCACCGTTACCGTGCTTCGTTAGAATATCTACAGCTGCATTGTAAGCCACGTAAGCTTCTTCATACTTCTTACCCTCCTCTAATTCACCGGCTAAATTCACATGCACCGAAGCATCCAGAATATACTGGACATTGTCATCGAGGCTTCTGATAAAAGGTATACTGTAGCTTTGCCCGTCCAACAAACTAATACTGTCGAATATGTTGGTTATGTTGGATAAATCCGAATTGTTGGAGGATGTGTGAGAGTTCAACGAAGCTGTTGAGTTGAATTTGCTGAGCCTCGCCGGGCGGATTGTTTGCGTTTTCGTATCGGAGAGTACATCGACCTGGAAACGGTGAATTAGTTGGGTGATAGGGGGGTAATTAGCATGTGTTGTACCGGTAATTGGGTTGATAAGGTGCATATGGAATCGCTGTCGCTGATTGTAATGTCATCGTCGGAGAGGGCTGCGCAGACTTCGGGGTCTTCGGGGAGATGGAGTTCCGCTCTGATTGAGGTTATGTTGCTGGTTAGGTGTTCCGATGGAGTGTGGCTGGTCTGGAATGGATTAGTGTGAATATTTTCGCTGTGAGGTTATCGTTATGTTGTTTTTGAATACCTCGAGAAATTTGATAAATTCTTTCGAAGTGAATAATTGATAATGGCAGCCGATGAAGTCCAATAATAGTAGTATGCTTTGCTTTCGTTCTTCTATAATTTCTTTATCGAACCTGCAAGGATTTTATGCGTTATATGTAATATTTTTGTAGGTAAATAATCGTACCGTTTAATTATCGTTTTAGCTGGTAGATTGGGGAAATCTTTGTTGTTCGTGATTTTTTTGTAGAGTAATTTTAATTCTTTGTGGAGCCGTCGGAAATCGTTATATCTCTTCCAAACGGTGACTTTCGTAACGGCATCGGGGCATGTCTCGGGATATAACTGAAACACGATTAAAGTTGATGCTAAAACGTGATTGCGAAAAATAGCTTACCAAAGAAACGACTTTGTAAATTGTAAAACCACTTTTATGCTTTCTTGTGTCCGGTATATCGAATATTCTCATCCATTTGTCATGTATCGAAACCATGATTTTTTTGTTTATAAAATATTTAAAACGTCAAAACCACCTCCCTTTTACAGCTGTTTTTGACGGCCGTCGACGTCACTTGTCAAATCGTACATCTCGAGGCCTCAACTTGTACAGCTATTCGGCCATTTAAATCACAGAACACTAGGAGAGTCCTGTAATCTTTGAATGTATCTTTAACAGATGGCGTTAGGGGTGCGGATGGAACGATAGAATTTCAGTTCCATTTTGACAATAGTGAACCAGACGTTTGCGCGAATTTCCAATGAAAAATCGGTGAAAATCGTCGTTTAAAATGGTGCATTACCGGGAATCGGGCGCGAGAGGTTCGTCTTTCATATTTTCCCCACCGGTCAACAACGTCCTGCAAGCACGTAAGTGGATATCTCGCAAATTATTCCAGATAATGTTCGCATGTGTGACAACTGACAGCTTCCCATAAGGAAAATGTTTATTTCTTTTATATTCGTATCGATTGAAATTATTTTGTGGAATTCCGGATGCATTCGCACGACTTATATTTCAATTTAATGTTCAACAACGCGTAGGAATCGAATTTCATCGAGAAATAGCACAATATTTTTCTTGCATCCTTTCCGAAAAATTAGGTTAGGTACGCCTAAACGTTGCTGTTCGATTACGAACGAATATAATTTTAAACTTGATATTAATGTGCTAAATCGAAGGCTAAGGTCACTTTATTGTGTAAAATATTTTATCTAATACTAGTTTCGTTAACAGGAATTCGAATTATCAGTGGACAATATTTATGAATCAGTTGGCTGTGGTTTTCCTTCGTTTTGCAATGACAGTTTGTAATTTTGTTAGGAATACCAATTTATTTATAGAAAAAAAAAACAAATTCAAATTATCACCGTATGTCCTAAATTGGATATTTAAAGCTCTCATAACACACAGCGAGTTAACTTATATCCATTTATTTGTCTCATTAGAAACTCGTATAGTAAAATAACTCTCGAGACATGGTAGATATTGTACTAATAATAATTTAGAAACGTTGAACTATCGATGCTTTGTATTTAAACTGGCCTGTGAGGTTTTTGTCTGGAATCTGGGTCATTTGGACGGATGGACAGATATATAACTAAACTGGTGGGTGGATATCTTATAGTCGGATTACAAGGCGATAATAAACATTGAAATCTATACTCATGACATACAGTAAGATATCGCAAAAGTAGTAGAAGTATTTTTCTGTATAATCTGTATAAAAATACCGTTATTTGCGTCCACCAAACGATTAATCCGCGTTGTTCGTGGGAACAAATCGATCTATCGTTCTCATTCAACATCCCATTATCATTGTTGTTTTAAAGTTTTTGCTGGTCTATTCACAATCCAATCGAACTTATCGCGTATTTGTTGTAATGCAATCGTTGATAAATCGCAACTACTAAATAGTAGTTGGAGTAATTACAAATGTTTTCGAAAAATTTCGCTCGTAAGAGGTCGATAAAAATCGAGTAAAACGTTGACAAAGTCGTTATCGCATCGTAAAAACTCTATAGAAAAATTACAATACAACTAGGAGTAATGGTTATATTCGATGTTTTATTGTAATTTACCATATTTGAATCGAATGATGTGTGGTCTTGACGAATTTAATATGTAATATATTCGAAATGTATACAATTTGTGTTTTTTACTAACATTATTTCGTTGGTAAAGAGTCGTATAATTTCTCGTTTTCTTAATTAATCATCCAATTAAATATCGCAATAAAAATAAACGTCCTGCCGGTTGCAAAGCCGTCGTTAACCATATTTGTGTCCGACGAGGAGTTTATAATTTTTCAATATAGCCGCAAAGATTGTGTTATTATCGGCGTATCGGCGTGACTTTTAATAAATAATCGCGTACAACTTTCGATTTCGTTAAACAATTAGCCTTTATTATAATGATATAATGAGACGAGCCGGCCATATGGTCGGGACGAATTTTTTTTTTATATGATTAATTTCATCGAAAGCATAAAAACGCTACCGTTTATGGTATAAGTAATAAGATGGAGGTAGCAAAAAAAAAACGAGTTTGTATATAAGTTGAAGATTCGATGTTATTTATCGATTTCGCCCGGTAGTAATGCTACGAGGGTAAGGGTATAAGTAGGTACAGTTGAACTATAAGAAACAATTAGTGAAAGGGCGTATAATCTCGATCGGAATCGGAATTCCATTTGTGTATTGTATCGTGATTGTATAAAAATCGTTTTAACCGGGTCGCGAGCGTGAGTCATCGGGCATCTGTTCGTATCTGCAGCGATTGTAATAATGTATGTATTAGTATTTGCATTGCATTATCGCGATTTTTAACCTATACAATTGAACAATTAACAAGTGGGCAACAAAACCGCGCGTAGGCGAGGAAAACCGAGCTCTTTCTCTCTAATAATCGTGACCCCGTAAATTCAAAATTTAACCAATCTCTTGTGCTATAATGAGCTTTAGTTAAAATACGTTAAAATATTTCCCCGTATTAACGTCTTCCTCCGATACTCATCTTCGAACGTCACGAATGAGAGAATGGTTAAAAAAAAATAAACGAAGACCCGTCGAAAAAGCAAAAGGGTAAAAAAACGAACGAGAGAGGAGAAAAAAAAAGTCTCGAAATCTCCTCGTCTGGAGCCACACCGGCCGTCAGATTTTATAATTAATGTAACACCTCGGCGTGGCGTTTACCTGCACGTCCTCGCCACGGGGGGAACCATCCAAATGGACCTCACCGGCTCGATTTTACTTGAAAAAAAATAATAGAGTACCCGAAATTCGATGGTACCCGATGGGCCGGTACGGTCCTGGCGTTTCGATAATCCTCTCGGCCTGGAGAAATTTGAAAACGTATATGCAACAGGAATTATTGAGTATAGAGTAATATGTGGATTAGAAACGACAATTATCGCTGTATTTTATTATTTAGTTTTATTATCGCTAGGATCGTCGAGTGTATGTAATGTAATAACTCGTTTTATATGCGAAACCAGTCGAGAGATGCGAGTCCATTGTTGTGTCGAGATATCCTTCTGAATTTTCAAGACTAGTCCGGCCTGTTTCGCTTTCCTTATCCGGTCGCGGGATCGACTATATACAGGGCATTGTTGCCCGATCGGGTTTTTTTCCTCGTTCTTTCGCTACTTTTTCGTAGTGGAAAATTTTTTTTTGGTGGGACACCTTGTATAGTGTGTAGAAAATCGCCCGAAATGGTGGTGAGGCGCCCGTGCGCATACAAATTGTTTTTTTTTTTTCGTAATATATTTGATGATTATTATGGCGATATAATATATGTAAAAGAGCAACATCTGTTTAATAATAATTTGAAATAAAGTCGAATCGTGTGGGCGTTACGTCCGGCTTCAGGGACGGAAATTTCGTCCCACATTTAATATACCTGCATAGAAATTTCGAAAATTTCGACTAGGACTAGTTGTTACGAAATTCTGTCCGCAATTAACGCGATTTTATTGAAATGGACTGTATTAATAAACTCCCGTAAACTTTATCGACACTCAAACCAACTTTAACGCTGCACAATTATAGTTTCTCTTGCGTAAATACACCTACTTTTCCTAAAAGAACTACATTAATTGGTCCTCGTAAACGATCGAATATAGAAATTGTGAATAAACGAGAAATCTTGAATGGAACTATCGACCAGTTTATTTTTTCTTTTTACATTAGAATTGACGAATACCTTACCGGTATACGTTTTTTCGGTCGAAAGGTTAATTAATACCGATAACGGTGCATTCGAATCGGCTTCGATCTCTTCGGATGTTTATGAGATTTTTACGGGGAAAAATAAATTCGAATTTTTTATCATCCGAAGTGGATTTCGAAGCCCTAATACATATTACGCAACGCGTTCAAAATCGTACGAAATTCTCGGTATATTTTATTGTATTCTTATCGACTAGTACTCTATAGAAGAGAAGTAGAAAAAAAACAGTCACCTTCTTCGCTTAAAAACCACTTAACTTTGATAGTCGGTTACGTGCCGAGACATTAAAACGCCTATTTAATTTGAGGATAGGTCTTTTTTAAGTGAATGACTGCGCTCTTTCGGATATATCCTCGAATGATGGTGGTTTTGTGCGAATCGGAACTCGATTTATTTCTGGTTAAAAAGGTAGCCGAAAGTGCGGGATTCACACGCAAGATTTTGAAGAAAAAAATTGCGAGTACCTCTCTAAAATTTACTCTCTATAATTGTTGTTATTATATTGTGTTTCGTATTATTTTTTTTGCGTTTTAAAATAATCACAGTCCTCGATTCCCGGTTTAGAAATCGTCTTTGTATTTTGGTTCGTTAATTTAGAGGAAGGCGCAGAATGTAGGTCAGTTATGTTGGGTTAGTAAACAAGATTATTTTCAACTGTGTATGTACCGTGCAATTTGCACGTACTAGAATCGTTTGCTGTTATATTATATTATCAAAAGTACAAACGTTATATACAATGTAATTTATTGGGAATTATACAAACGTTGTCATCAGGTGCATTTTTATTGGAATGAAAATCATCATCAGTAAATCATTAAAATTTGATGGAGTGCGTATACGGAATAAATTATCTCTCTTTCGAACGGAGCGTAATTTATCTTCGGAGCATTTATTAGAAGCTATAAAATTAAAATTGTACAATTTCGATTCCTCGGTTCTATCCAAATAAAGCGGTACTAAAATTACCATACCGTATCTAAAACGTACTTAAAAAAAAACGTTTTTAACGTTAAACTTAACGTGCCCATAAATACCCACCCGCGACAAGATTTTTTTTTTATATATTTTCGTGTAGGACACGAAATTAATACTTAACTAATACCTGCGTAGGTAATTTCCGGTATTTAAGGTTTTACGAGGATGTGCGATAAAAAGAATCATCAAAAAACTTGGTTTGTTCAATGTTGCGTACAAAATTCGACTCGATTAATTATGTATACCTCGTGAGATGCAGCTTGGCAGTTGAAAATTGCATTAGAAGCGCAAACGATGAAGAAAAAGGTGGATAAATTGGAGTATCTTTTACAAAAATCTTTCCTCTTTGACCGATGAATATCAATTCATCTCTCATTAACTACATTTAAATTTTGCTTATAAAACTTCTTAAAAATTCCCACTGCCAAGCTAGATTTGATGAGGTAGGTATATACATTTTTTTTAATCGACTAATATTTCCAAATTTACTGAAATATTCCGTATAGTTTGATGATACTCCTACGCTAATTATAACGAAATATTACGTAGGCGGTATATTCTAATCTCTCTAATAGTATATGGATATTAATTATTTGATCGAACTTTGTGGTTGTGCCGCCGTTACGGCGTTAATTGCTCAATCTTCGTTTTTCTTATAGACGTT